GGAAGGAAGGAAGGAAGGAACAGTGGGTTGAAATGCAGATTGCACCATCCATTTGGGGACACTATGTTCAAATCAATTTGGCCTTAGTGTAATCATGCACAGCACACTGAAATGGAAGATAGGCTGCAAATCAAACCACAGCAGAGCCAAATCACTCCTCTTTGGCTTGCCAGTGTAATCACAGCCTTAGTGTCATTGAAAACTAGATGTTGCATTTCCATTACAAAATAATAGACTACTTTCTTACTACTCATACATTCCTAATATTCTTAAAATGTGTTATTTCACCTGTATATTTGACAGAGGTCCGTCTCTTATAGATAAGGCCATTGTTTTGAGCAGAGGCTTGAATGTGGTCCACTGAGAACACAAAACTTTCTTGCTAGATCCCTTCCCCTCCCTCATTTGCCTAAAGGTGGAGTAGATCAATATATGAATTCGTTTTCACACATAGTGGCAATTCTATTCCTATAAGGAAGTACCAGACTTGATATTTCTGTGCAATCCTGGGAAAGTTATGACCACTTCTAGTATATTAAAATACAGTATAAATTAACTTGTTTCTGAAATGATTCAAAGCTATTCCCCTAGTATGTCACCAGGTTTTGTGGCCATTTTCACTTAAATTTGTCTCATCTACTGAAAAAGAGCACAGTACTTCAGTTTATAAAAGTAGTTCTTTTGAGGCTGTTGTGCTCTTTCCCACACACAATAGTTCCCCAACACAGTGGAACTAACAGTGGTTAGGGGAAAGTGCATTTGGCACCAAATTCACACCTTCTGAGAGAAGGAGGGGTGATATCTGTGAAAATTTATATTGCAAAGGTGGAAGTACATAGGATTTCCCCCCCAAAAAAACCAGCTCCTAGTTCAGGACAGATGATAATGCCACATAGGATTCCCCCCCCAAAACAGCTCCTAGTTCAGGACAGATGATAATGCTAATGATAATAACATGCTGTCATTTATGATTCCAACATATGGCAACCCTTTTCACAGTTTTCTAGGTACAGAATACTTGGAAGTAATTTGCCATTCCTCTCTTTTGGGGGAAACCTGGGATTGTGCAGTTTGCCCAAAGCTACACAGGGTGATTTTCCTCTCCGAAAGCACAGTGGGGAATCAAGCTCCCAACCTCTGACTCTGCAGTCAGATATCCGACACCATGTGCAACTAGATGGCCCAATTATCCTAATCTGGATCAGTCTACATCATGCTAAACAGGCACACTTTGAGGTGCTGTATGTCATGTGAGGCAATCATTGTATCAACATGCAAAGACTGAACACACTGCACCACAAATGACCCTGTTTAGCACAATCTAGACTGTTCTTCTTTCCCTTTAAAGGGAAACAAAACAAAACAAAAACCCTCCTATTCTCTCCTCCATACTTTCTTAAGCCACTTACAGTAATTATCTTGAGAAATGGTAAATTTTCCAAGTCTTTTGAATTGTTGCTAACTGATACAGTGCATCAGCGATGCATTCAAAGCAAGCAGGAAGGAAGCTTCCTGTTTCTCAATAGGCCATCCGCTTTGTTTTGACCCCAGTGATCACACACACTGGAACTAAATCAAAATGGAGCCCCTTACAGAGACCCAAAAAGGTGCAAGTAGGCATTAATCAGGAACAAGCTGTTTCACGATGGCAAACACATTGTGTGGCCTCCAGGAAAAAGAGTAAACCAGCTAGTCTCTAATCTGGACCAAATCACAGGACAAATGCCTGTCTGATCACCCTTTCACTGAGCTATCCAGCCTGTAGTTAGGACAAAGCACCTTTTAAATTTTTTTTGGCCATAATCCTTATCTAAACTAGTGTCCTGAACTTCCACAAGCCAGAATAACAACCTATTGCTTTCTCTTTTCTCTTCAGGTGACATGTTACTCTTTAAACAACAAGTGTCAGCTGAAAGTGAAGAGTAACACCTGCTACTGCTGTGATTTGTACAATTGTGAAAAGTAAGTACTTAATAGACAGCAGGAGGTCTAAGATTAGCTTCTCAAACCACTGCAGGAAAAACAGTCTGATGTAATCTGAGGAATGCTGCATATCCAAAATCTTGTTTTTGCCAGTAAGAAGGCTTTTCCAGCATTTGGGGGAGGGCAGGAGAAGCCTTCATATGCACAGTCTGTCTTTCCCCCCAGGGAATGTCTTTATAGTGTTCTCCATAAAAGCTGAGAGAAACAATAGTTTCCCAGGAGTAGTTGCTGAATGTAATACAACCCAGAGCCAATACAATGCCTCAGTTTGGCCTCTTCTCCTCCAAATCGGACAGGCTGTTACTAAACACAAGCTCAGCGCAGAAAAGACAGCGGTGGCCTGCCAGCATTAACGCAAGAAATGTGGGTTTTGCTGTCATAGCTCCAGTGATCACGCCTGTTCTCTATCAGAGCCCTTGGCTTTGCATTAAGTCCAGAATTTACACTGACCCCCCCCCCTTCTTTTTATTTTTTTATTTTGCCACTCAGGCCACTTCTTAAATGCAGACATAGACTGTTTTTGAATGTTATTATTTTTTTTCTGATTTGAATTTCTGGCCCACCTTCTCCAATAGGCACTAAGCATTCACAGTAACTAAAATACAGATGTGAAACTCTGCCTGCCTTTCCGCTTATTCAGCATTTCATGCCTTAAAACATTAATTCCATCACAACCTTTAATAGCTTGATATCTTTTTTTAATATAACCAAGCATCTTAGGCAAGACCTGATTGGGCAAGATTCGGGATGCTGACATTTTTTCCCCTTCATAAATTTTTGCTGATGTGGTGCAATCGCTTCCCTTCTCGCCAGCTCAGAACACTCTACGAGCTACTATGAGTTCCTTGGTGTGAACAGCTGCCAGGATGTGGTTCACTTATATCGGCTGCTCTGGTCCTCTACTGTGTTGAACATCATTGGATTGTTTCTTGGCATAGTCACAGCAGCCATACTTGGGGCATTTAAAGATGTGGTGAGTCTTCAAGGCCTAAAGACATTTCATACTCATGGATTTATTAGTGTAGAACGTTCAAGAGGTTCCTTTTTGGCGAAATCATAAGTGTCATCTAGAGCAGTGGTTCTTAACGTGGGTGGTCCTCTACTGTGTTGAACATCATTGGATTGTTTCTTGGCATAGTCACAGCAGCCATACTTGGGGCATTTAAAGATGTGGTGAGTCTTCAAGGCCTAAAGACATTTCATACTCATGGATTTATTAGTGTAGAACGTTCAAGAGGTTCCTTTTTGGCGAAATCATAAGTGTCATCTAGAGCAGTGGTTCTTAACGTGGGTGATAATGCCCCCCAAGGGGCGATTTCATTTTTCAGGGGGGCGGTAGAACGAAAAGGGGCGGCGTGGGGGCAATCTATTCTAGAAGGGTAGC